ATAGATTATAGAGGATTTAAAAGTAAGAAAATTAGTTTTTAATTTGGTAGAGGAGAGGTATATAAATAACAGAGAAAAGTGGGTAAAAATTTATTTGAAACTAAAAACAATTTGGGTCATTGGATCTTAACGATGAAGAATGAAAGGTGGAGATTGGATTTGAAAAAATAATGATTATATTATATTATAATATAATATATAATAATAATATATCTGTGTGCGTGTGCGTGTGCGTGCGCTGGTGCGGGTGTGTGCGTGTGCGTGTGCGTGTGTGTGACAGTTACTTCAGACGGTTACTTTTTTCTTTTTTCTTTTCACTCCCTTTTTCAATTTCTTTTCATTTTCATTTTCATTTTTTTCCTTTTTTTTGTTTGTTTCTTTCTTTGTTCTTTTCTTTTTTAAACAATACAGCTCACCATATGTCAACATAAAATTCGCTCACGACATCTTCTCGAGTATTTTCCATTTGACTTATTTTGATCATAACTTCTTCTTTTAAACTCTGATTTGAGCCATTTAAATTGCGTTGGATTCGTCTTTTCAACTACATTATGGACACTTTGAAACACCAAAATAATCAGTATATTAAGTTTGTTATCATCAAAACATATAATATGATTGAAGCTCAAAACGCCAACAAATGTGAGATTTGCCAATTTACGTTCAGCAACTCCATTCTAATGTGAAGTGTCAGGACACGTCATTTGGTGTTGAATTTCATGCTCCTTGCAATAATTTTAAAATTCATCGGACATATATTTTCTCCTTGTTTATCAGTGAGCAAAAACATTATTGGCAGCATAAATTCCTTATCCACCTGCTCCTTAAATTGAATGGAGAAAGTCTCACTTTTAGCCTCTAAGAAATATACCCAAGTGAATCGAGAAAAATCGTCCACAATAACCATAACATAATAACAATCAGAATAACTTGATGTTCTAGTTGGCCCATCAAGTCTCAATGAACTAACTGCAATGCAACAGTAGCTCTATTGTCCAAATTTGGGAAAGGGAGACGATGTGATTTTCCAAATTGACAACCAAGACAAACTACATCAAGGTGAATTTTTTTGAGTAGATGAATATCGTCCAAAAGCTTCTTTGTCGAAATTCGCTGTAACTGTTGATAACCAACATGACCTAACCGAGCATGCCAAAATGCTGCACTATCATTCTGACCTATCTTTTCAACATATGCATCACTTGTAGATAAAACATAGAGGGAATCTTTCCTCTTTCTAGTTAAGAAAATATCAACTAAAAATTGCTTAATAGTAAAAATATTTTTTACATCATCTAGACCAAAAAGAACATACCTCACAGAGTCGTAATTTGAGAGATTGAAACCATATTCTTCTTCAAGCCTGAAACATGATTAAACATCTTCAAGAGAAACACCACCAACATTTGGAGCACCATTCTGAACATTAACATGTCGTTCTTCAACAACAAGATGTAATGAATTATCAGCGTCGTAATGACCCTTCTTCCAAATAATACAATCCTCGTTATAATCTATAGAAGCATTAGCATGCATATTAATGGGTTGGTCAACGACTTCAATTGACAAACATTGATCCCATGTACGTTGTCTAGGTTTGTTACTTTCCTGTACAACATTTGATTCTGCTTCTTTGAGATTCTCCTGACAATTTGGTCTAATATGACCTAGTTTCCCACAACGATGACACACCACATTTGCTCGACAATCACGTTTGATGTGTCCCGACTTACCGCACTTAAAACATCTTTTTATATTACCTTTGGACTGCCCTTCAATCTTGGAATGCCTGCTGTTATCTGAAGAACGCTTGGAATAAGAATTGTCTTTTCCTTTGTATGTTGCATAAAGAACATCTTCCACCTGTGCAGTTTGCTTTATTGTTGCCAAGTATTTGTTTCACCAAGGTTTCTTGATTTGAAAGTAGTTTTTCCAACTCAATGATATAAGGTTGATTTACCCAACCTTGTATCGAAGAAATAAATGACATAAATTCCTTTCACAATCCACGAATGAGATAACGACGCAAATGAGCATCACTATTGGATTCCTCTTCGTCCAGTTCTGAAATTTCAGAACACAAAGTCTTAACTTTCAAAAAGTATTATGAAACTGACAAATTACCTTGAGTTGTTCCAGCAAGTTCGTTCTCCAAATACTGCAATCTCGTTATATTTTTTTTAGTGAACAGACTTCTCGTCACGAACATGCTCGATATACTCCTTGCCAATAGAATTTTGCAAAGCAAATAATGCTTTGCCACACTTGATCTTCCACTTCCTTCGCATCTCAACAATCTTTTGAATATCTTCTGGAATTTCAGCATCATCACCAAAGACAAGATCTCATAGATCATGACCTTATAGAAAAGCTTCTATACATAGTCTCCAATAGCTATAGTTGTCACTGGTAAGCTTGTCTACACAAATATTACTTCCACCATTCATCTTCACTGAGTACTAAACTCAAACACTGAGCACTAAACTTAAACAACGAGCACTAGACTCAAATACAAGAAAAAGAACCTTGCTGCTTTGATACCATATAACGAAAAACGTAGATGAACAATAGAAAGGAAGCACGAAAACCAACCTAACACCATACGAGGGAAGAATTTGATTAATTGAAATGATAACTAGTTACATGTATTTATAGGGAGCCAAGAAAACCGACCACTAAGCCACTACCCTTGAATTTCTCTCAAATCAACTCACAATGCCATTAAACCTTAAACTTCTCTTCCACTAACACCATTGTGCCACCAAGTCACTAAGCCAAAAATTACTCCTCAAGTTACATATTCACTCAGCACTACTTCCTATGAAATTAACTACCCACTAATCCATTAACTCCTAAAAACTCTCAAGCACTAGCATTATAATTAAACACAAATTTGCACTAATTTTTAACAGACGACACTCCGATGCTTAAATCAGTTAATGAACTTAAGAGGACAAGAGAGGAAAGAGCAAGTCTTGGTTGGAATTGCTTACCTCAAAGGGTTGAGGGCTTTTTCTATCTATAGCTTTGGTGGCAATGTGAACGGATCCTTTGAAAAGTAAAAAATTGTAATTAGAGCTGTGTCTTGTGTTACATCCCCGCCCTATGATGCAACAAATGGATGCACAGAAAGAGGAAAGTGGGCCCAATGTGCCAAAAAAATCTGCTCTATAGCAAAGCTAGAGTGACACTACATAGATAATGGCTCAAAAGGTGTCCAAATGTGCAAGGGCAACCTAATGGGCAGTACTAAATTAGGGCACACCGTCTATTTGATGACGGGCCGCCCAATGAGCGGTGGCGGGGGTCTTGGGTTGCGAAGACGTGCAATGCGCAACCAGCACACGTACATTGTGAGTCGGTTTTGGGTGGCTGGTTCGGCCATTTTGGGCCCAATCTTCCCTTCGATTTAGACTTATGCTAGTTAAATCTTTAGTGAGCCCCAACAATATTCATATGATTTTTTTCAAAAAAACGATGATTTATCTCTTTTTTTCTGTTTCTTATAAAAAAGAAACAATTCGACCAACAAAAATCAAAGAGGGAAAAAACTCTTCGAACAGAAAAAATCTTGTGTTTGAGGTCTTTGGGGCTTTTCTGTTTCTGTTTCTTTTGGAAAAACAGAAAACAAGTCAACCATCTCTCATTTTTATCTCTCTTTTTCTTGTTTGGAGGAAGGTCAGGTCGACTTGAAAGCTTTTGGGAGCAATTCGATTTTGACCCAGACATATTCGGTTCGGGTCGGTTTTTCCCGAAACCTGACCCAAAACTGATTATACCCCTATTAAAGAGTACAAAAATAATAAAAATTATATTGATCTGTAGGTTGTCATTTGATTTTGTAGAAGAAGAAGAAGGTTGGCTCGGGTCGGGTTTGACCCGAACCAATTACACCCCATAATAATTATATAGTATTGATCGGTAGGTTGTCACTCGATTTTGTGGTCCATTGGTAATTGTATTTTGCCATCCCTTATGAATTTATTTCATTTAGTTTAGTTTTTAAACCCTTTGAACTTAAATCATAATTTAAATTAAAAGTTTATCTGTATTTTAAAATTAAACCAGAAAAAAATAATAAGAAAATTGATTTAAAGATGAGATATTTTTAGCTCGTAGTCAATACCGATGGGAAATTGACGCATATAACCAAAAAAAAATTTAGAGTACATAACAAAAATAGGAGGATGGCAAAAGAGGCATGATGCCTGTAAAGAAAAATATGAGGAAAGTATATGACAAAGGTGAATTAGTTTACTTGAAGAAAATAATAAATTAAGAAGACTTTGATGATAGATAGGTTTTTTGTTTTAATATTTTATTTTATTTATAGAGTATGATAGATAGGTTTCTATTACAAGGGATTGTGTGAAGTCTATTAGTTTTATTGTCCTACTTAGTGAATCATCATCGTAGAAGTATTACCTACAATTATATCAAGATTTACTATTTCAATACGTATTAACTCTTGACCATTTATATTTAAAGACTTTGACACAATTTTTATAAACTTTACATATGATCGTTACCATTTATATCTTAGGGACCGAAATTGATCTTCTTATCATATCGATCCCTGAACATATGTATCCAAAACTCTATCACTACTTTTTATAAAAAAAAACTTTTCTTTTGTGATATCCGTAAGTGTCCAGACTAGCTTACGCGCATCTCAAATAATCTTATGGAGCAACCGTCTATTACTATTACATTTGGTTGACAAGATAACTCTTAAGATATTAAATCCTAGATAGGTGACTAATGCATTTCCTCTAAGTCCTTTGCTATTTATCTTGGCGTTTATTAACCACTAGACTATCCCACGATGGTCACCTAAATATATGACTTAACACCTGTAGTAAAAGTAGACAATTTCTTACCTTGGGTTGGGTGGTTGAAATTTTCATCCATGTTTTTTTTTACTGGAAAAGAATTGAGTAAAGCAATAAGGTAAAAATTGATTGATTGATTGATTTTTTATTTTGTTGTCCGAAGTCGAAAACTGAGCACAAGAACGGACAAAGAAAAATGAAAGAAAAAGGGGAAGAGTTAGAAACAGACCATTTCCACGACAATTCCTCGGAACAATTTCTTCAGATTCTCTGCAAATTTTCAGAAACCCTAGGTGTCATTTGCTTTCCCATTATTTTGAATCATTTTGCATAACAAGGCCCCTTGGTTGTGGATTGGATCGTAGCCGACGGATAATTACTTCCTTTGGCTAATTTCCCGAAAATAGAGCTCAATCCAAAATAGGCTTTGACGTTGATATTTCTTTTTATGGTTTTGGCATAATTTGTTCTTCGGCTCTTGAATTTCGAGATTTTCTTCTTGAAATTCGGTCACGGTTTCCAATTCTTGCAGCGATTTGAGAGGATACAGAGCATTCCCTACTCCAAAACACCGGTAGTGGGAGAGGTAGAGCGGGAAGAGAGAGATGAAGACGGGTTCGCAGTCGGAAGGACCTTCAGCTCCGGCGCTTCGACGGGACCCGTATGAGGTGTTAAGCGTGTCCAGGGATTCCACTGATCAGGAAATCAAGACTGCTTATAGGAAGCTTGCTCTCAAGTAATTCTCTTGCTTTACACTCTGTATTACTGAAAATTGATCTGTTTAGTTTGATATTAAATATTGATTCTAGCTCAGCTTCAATAACGAATAGGAAGATGCTGTATACAAGTGGACAAGTTGAGATATATGAAGATATTACTCTTAGTTGGTCTAATTTTAAAGAATAAACGGAATATTGTGGTTAATTCGGCCGTGCATTTTGTTTGAAGGATGTCAGTTGATGGTAATATCTGAAACTTTTACAAGGAAGGTGGAAAATATATTTTATTCATCTTTTCAGCTTGTTTGAGACTTGAGTAATGATTGATATTCAGTCCTGTTGCAGGCTCTAGGGTGCATTAACTTTACATTACGAATTGCTGCAGTGGTTACAGGATGAGATTTCATCAAATGCTCCATCCTCACACTTTCTTTTTTAATTACATGTTTCTATTGCCGGCTTTCCAATTTCAATTACTAATTTTGATTGTGTTTATCTTTCGAACCATCTGTCTGCAAAGTGATTCTTTTCTTACCCCAAACAATGTGGCAGATATCACCCGGACAAGAATGGCAGTAACCCTGAAGCTTCTGAACTCTTTAAGGAGGTTGCATATTCTTATAACATCCTATCTGATCCAGAGAAGAGAAGGCAATATGACAGTGCTGGCTTTGAGGTGCTTGTCTTCCTCTGTCACCTTTAACTTTTTATGATGCTTTGTAGTATAAGTTTTTATTACTTTTACTTTTTTAACAAGAATCTGAACTTTTCATTGAATTAATGAAAAGAAACACAATTTTCAAGATACAAACTCCCAAAAGGTGAGAAAAAAAAAAGTAGGAGTTAGAAAAATCTCCCAACTCATACAAATATCTTGTAAAGGGAAATCAGAAAAAAGTTTGGAAAGAGCACTGATAACAACATTTGCAAAGACACTTCATTACTTTCAAAATAAAGATTTTATTATTATTATTTTTTAAGGACTGTATGTGGCTATACACATATTTCCATCCCATACAAAGTATTTTATTTTGCCCAATCACACCTTTCTTTAGATTCAAATTAAGGTCAAGAATGTTAATGCTCTCTGTCATTCTGTAATCAATGTGTTCAGGCCCTTGATGCTAGTGGCATGGATATGGAAATAGACTTATCCAATCTTGGAACTGTTAATACCATGTTTGCAGCTCTGTTCAGGTGACACATTTATTGAGTTATTTACTGATTTAGTTGTCATTATCTTTCTTGATCACTTTTATTTTAACATTTTTTTAGCAAGCTGGGTGTTCCTATTAAGACTACAATTTCTGCTAATGTTCTTGAAGAAGCTCTGAATGGAACTGTTACAGTCAGACCTCTTCCTGTTGGAACATCAGTTAGTGGCAAGGTGCATATGTAGCTAATATCAAGATGTTGCAACAGCAGCAGCATTTCCAGTACTTCTGATATCTTGTTAGTTTTTTGTTTTATTGTAGGTTGATAAGCAATGTGCTCACTTTTTTGGTGTGACAATTAATGAGGAACAAGCTCAGGCAGGAATTGTTATAAGAGTTACTTCAACTGCACAAAGCAAATTCAAGGTGTAGTTTTGCCTGTAATTTTCAACCCAATGGCTTATTGCTCTTATGATATGCACATTTTTTCTTAATTCTTGGCATTGTTCTCCATGCGCATAGCATCCATTTTGTAAGCTCGTATATGTTTCTGATTACAGTGCTTATCCCTTTTATTCCAGTTGCTCTTTTTTGAACAAGACTTCAATGGCGGCTATAGTTTGGCCTTACAGGTATCAAATACTAATCTGTATTACCTTCCAAAATTTTCCAATTTGTTAATTTCTATAGATGAAGCAGCTGTAGTTTTTGTCCCTGATGGTTGGCATTAAAATATAGTCTATGTGCTATCATCAAACATGGTAGCACTAGAATTTTCTTACAAATAACGAAGAGTGTGTTTGGTTGGTGATCTGAAAACAGAAATTTGAAAACAAGGGATTCAATGAAAAGATAGTCGTTTTCAGTGTTTTCAAATGTGTGTTTGGTAACAGATTTGAAAATTGAATCTCAGTTTAAAAAATTGTAAACTGTTCAAGGTGTTTAGTAGTATATCTATAAACTAGTATAGTTACCAACTAAATATTTAGTTAAATATAAAATAATATTAATTGATTTATTAACATATATGTTATAAATTTTGTATAATTATTATTATAAAATATTATATATATATATATATATATTATATTTTACATTTTTTAATTAACAAAAATGAAATAAGTTTATAACATGATATAATATATTTATCAAAGTTTCTATCTATTAATGTAATTATGCATTTTAAAGTTATAAATTCAGAATCTGAAAACACTGAAAAGTGAAATCATAAAAATGTTGTTTTCAGAAGTTCCACGGTTTGAATCACAGAATCCGAAAACAGTTTTCAAAAACAAGTCTGCCAAACATGTATTCACTGAGTCCATTTGATCCAGTGAAAACAAGAAACAAAATCTGGATGACATACGAAATAGAACCTAATTTTCTGGAAGAAGCTCTTCGACAAAAACTAAGCTCAGCAATTTACATTTTCCAATTATGGTTTCCAAAGTTTCATGGAAGCTGCTTGTCGTTATTATGTTTCTGGTGCATACAGAATAGCAATGGTAGAAGTTCCGAAGGAATGAAGTTGTTCTTGTTCCCGTGGAATTTATTTTATTAAAATTTGCTTCATATTTTTAAAAGTGGTTATTTGTACAAGATAGCTAGTGAAATCTTGAGGGAACGATTCATTCCATAGTCTTTAATATCAATTTTCCAACTTGCTTTTGTATCGTTATTTTTAAAGCTGGATAGTTGAGCACATCATGCCTTTTTGATTTTTCCATTGGAATCGTTTGGGAAAATCCCCCATTTTAAGTTTTCTGAACATAAAGTTATTACTGCTGTCTGATATTTGTTGCTGTTGGTTGAGGGGACATCCTTTGATGATTTCTATTGTGTAGTTCTCCTTTTATGAACTAGGAACCGTGTTTTATTATTTTATAGGTAGGTTTACTGTGAGTAGTTAGATGAAAGCTTACCATATCAGTCACGTGGATCCCAACTTGTAAAATAAATCTGGGTTAATTAATCTTAAAATGATTCAACTTTGTATTGACTTCAGTTCTGTGTTTTTTCCATTGCCTTTCCATACAGGAAGATAGTGAGAAGACTGGGAAAGTAACGTCTGCTGGGTTGTATTTTTTGCATTTTCAAGTGTACAGGATGGATTCCACGGTCAATGCGGTATTGCAAGTTCAAAATGTGTATTTTACTGATATTTCCTGAACTTTTGATCAGAATGGTATCGCTTCATGTTTTCTTGTCACAATCAGATTTTATGGCTGAATGAGTTCTTGTGTTGTTGCAGTTGGCAATGGCTAAGGACCCTGAGGCTGCTTTCTTCAAGAGGTTGGAAGGTCTTCAGCCTTGTGAGGTCTCAGAGCTAAAGGCTGGCACCCATATTTTTGCTGTTTATGGTGTTAACTTAGATTTCTTATTCAACTTTCAAATTTTATTCTGTTAGGTGTTAACTGCTTTTTTGACGTCCTTCATGTTTATTCAGGAGATAACTTTTTTAAGACTGCTTCATATACAATTGAGGCACTCTGTACAAAAACTTACGAAGAGACAACAGAAAAGCTGAAAGATATTGAGGCTCAAATCTTGAGAAAGAGAAATGAGCTACGTCAATTTGAAACAGAATACCGGAAGGTGTTGAACTTCTATCCCTCCTCCCACTCACACTCTACCCACTACCTGTTGTTTTTGGGGTTTACTTATTAATTGCATTGGTATGATGTTCCACAGGCATTAGCACGCTTCCAAGAAGTGACCAACAGATACAACAAGGAAAAACAGTCTGTAAGTTTCATTGGTCACTCTTATAATTTAGATCATATTTTTATATTTTGGCTTCTTGCTCATAATAATATCTAGGCCAAACAATAAAGATTCCTTATGTCCATAGATGTCAACTCTTCTGTAAGTAACTTTTAATTCGTTGAAGTTGTATTTAAATCTGTTCGGTTTTCTCACTCAACTCAACTTGCATTTATTGGATGCTGGAAATTTTATGTTCTTATTTTTATTTGTTTTCATTATCTTGAAAGAGACTATTTTGTGATTGTGGCAACCAGTTGGAAATCTTGTTGGGAGATTCTGGCTCTCTGCCTATTATATTGGTAGTTAGACCTCAAATATTTTGCTTCTTATAAGATATGCCATGTGTTTAAAATACTTGAGAGTACTAGAGGTGATAGAAAGAAGAAACAATTAATATAAAGATGCAAGGGTAAGTCTGCTATATGGTTGTCCTGCTATATGGTTGTCATATTGAAGGCAGTGTTTTAATTATTTTCTTTAAATACATTATCAATTTGGGATACTGAAGACTGGAGAATTATAAATGATAGTAGATTGGCAGAAAAAGTTGAGAAAAGGGATAAAGTGAGGGTATTTTCACTGTTTTCTATCCTGAATATTATAAAAGTTCAGATACTTTAAGTTTAAGGGTCCAAAAATCGTTTGACATATTTTCATAAGTGTGGACACATTTTTATTCTGCTTAGTAAGTTAAATGGACATGTCTCTAATAAGTATTGGGCTAGTATCCAATTTATTCAACTAATGTCCAGTTCATGTCTATTATGCTTAACAAATATTTGACACATGTACAATACCGGTACTTTACCAAAATTAAGTGTCCCTGTATTATATATTAGATGGGATATAAGAGTAGGTATGTGATATTTTTTTTACTTAATATACTAATGAGAGCAACATCTTACAAAGTTAGAGCTGCTGTTGCAAAACTTGGACTGGAGCCTAGCAGACGACTTGAAAGGACATTAATGTTTTTATAAATTGTTTACACATTTTTTGGATTTATTTTGTCATAATTACACACCAGCTAAATTTAATATCCAAGTGATTTATAATCCCACGGTAGCGTCAAGCGTGTAGTCGTATAGGCCCTTGGACTGAATCAGCTAGTCATAGACAATTCGTCTGCACAAAATGTTTTGATTGTTAGTTGGTCCACCGAAGAACTCCACTGTCCAACTAATGGCACCAGATGTTTTGACA